TCTGTAGTAAAGAAATATTTTCAACTGTCTGTGTGGTTTAACTTTGATTCAAAGTACATTTTATTTGCATATATTCTGTTCAGAGTTTTGTTTTAGTTTCTTTGTAACACTAGTAGGTTTGTGTTGTATTTTATTTTTTCTGGAATGCAAGCTGACCTCCAGCAGTTGGTGTTTTTGTCGCCTGACCTTCTTCTATTACTGTGGAAGTTCTTCGATACAGGTTGGAACTGAATTGAAAATGAGAACAAAAAGGGAGATAACAGATATCTGCAAGTTATTCAATAGGTACTTACCTGTTATGTTACACAGGGGAGAGCATTTACCATCTTTGCTTGTCTTAATTCTTCTCTTTTTTTTTGGCCCAATATTAAATTCTGATGGTGTGTTCTTCACCATTTCTTAAGATTAATCTTTGTCTAATCCCTTTTTTTGACAATATACAGTTAGATAAAGGGTTATTTAATGATTTCTGTAGCTTTCCAAGTTTGTATAGTGAAATAAAAGCTTTTTTGATGTGTAAAGTATTTTGGAGCAATTTTGAGGGGCTGTAATTCCTTGCATGTGTCTACATTCGTGTATAGACAGAATAGATAATTATAGTATTAGGATCTCCACCACTGATCACTCTAAAAAGGATAAAGTTACCTTAGTTAATGTTATCACCAAGTAAGCTGCCTGGGTGTTTGTTGGTTTGTTTTGAGGGGTTTTTTTAATTACCTTTGTCCCATGTTTACTAAACACTTATCATGGCGTTTTCATTATGGAGTCCACAAATAAACCAAAAGCTCTTGGTACAGTAAAGATGCTGCCCTTAAATGCATTTTTTTTTAATCATTTTAATATACTTTTTGGCTTTGACATTGCCTATCACTCACAGTGTGTTCTTGTCTTGTCATATTCATTAGTCAGACCAGAACTAAATGGAAACTGATTGCACTCTTCTCGTCAGATGTAGGCAAAGGTAATTAAATACCCATGTTTTCTGTGGCTAAGCCACTACCTTGGGCTGGTAGAATGCTGACAGCAGTGTCATAAATTCTTGTCACTCTTCCTGTCACTCATCTCTTATGAAAGTGCCGAGAGAAATGACAAACAAATCTGTTAGATGTTAAAGGAGAAAATTTTTGGTCCTTCTCAGGCTATTGCAGCTGCTGTCCCTGATGAGTTTTTGATACTTGTGCTCTTCAAGACAAAATTTCTCACAAAAAACCTCATTTGTAATAAGGGAATTACTCCTTGTGGCTCCCCTGGATAAAATAAACTTAAAATCTACCTTTCGGAGCAAGTCTTTCAGCAGTCTACTAATCTAGGAAGCCCGGAGTTTTGATGCTTGCCATGCTGAGAGGTGCAGAGCAAGTGTTAGACTGGTCTGCGCGGGAGCAACCGCCCAGGCTTTGATTGCCCATTTGTGTAACTTCTCTGCAATCTGGTGTTGGAAGGAGAGGGCAGGGAAGCACTGGAATTCCTTCCCAAAGCAAAGCAGAAATAGTATCACATGCTGCTTCCTTCTTCCGTTAGTGTAACTGGTTTAAAGTTTGGGGCTAAGGTGACTGAGGTGGTAGTTATCTCAGGGGCTGCAGAGCTTGCCTGTAATTAAGGAAAGAGAGGGAGAGGAAATTGTGCAACTCGGTGTGTATGTGTTTCCTTCTATCAAAATTGCAGTAGAAGGTAATGGGATGAGGCATATGCAGAGCAGCCCAGACTTTTTTGGCAAAGACTGGTCTGTGCTCATCTGCAGCACGGAAAGCTTGACAGGCTTTGTTTTGTTGACGTTTATGGGTAGGAGATCAATGAGAAATGAGGACAATTTCAAGAAATAAAAGGTTATCAAATAGATGCAAAGAGCCAAAAACTGAGGAGAAGATATTTTAAAATAGTTTTGATTTTGTGTGACCTTCCCTTGTTTTACAGTCGTGCTCTAAACCAGGAGTCTCGCATCCTAATTTGCTCACACAAACATCCCAGAAAGAATTGATCAGCTACTGCAGGAGGAGACGTTCCCTGCCTTCTGGTGCCTTCACACAGACCACCGAAACACGCTTCGAGTCCTCCCGCTCCGTCCTCCACAGGTGCAGTCAGACTGTTTTGCCTGACTACATACTGTGAGGAATCCGGATTTGCTTAAACAACAGTTCTCGGTTTTTTCTGGAGGAAAATCAAGCCCTGCAAGCCAAACTCTTTTTTTTCCATACCACCTTACAACTTGGTTTGCTGTTCTTAACAATTGCAGAGTACAGGTGTCTCATAAAGAAACTCATAGGAGGACATAGATACTATCAGGGCACTGGGTTAGAAGTACTCTCTTCTTCCCATGCAATCAGTAATGAAAAAACCCCATGTGGATACTGAAGTAAAATTATGCGTGTGACTGCCTTCCAGTATTTAACATTTTCTGATGTTGTTAAACAGTTTAAATACTAAAGCATGTAATGCTATGCTGACATTTTGCAAAAATGTTTTAGAGAGGAAGTATTGAAGAGGCTGTTGATGTCTTACAGCTGCTTGTCTCAGAAGTACTTTCCAGGAATTTCACCTTGTTGTTTAATGTTGAGATACCTATTAAATAGATCAGGGTAGTTCCCAGAATGAGGAAATAAAACTAAACCAGAAGGGTGTGGGAAAGAAAGATGGAAGTGTGCAAGTTCACAGTAATATTTTCTGTAGGTTTTTAACTAATCTCATATGAGAGCTTTCAAAAAAAATAATGTGCATAGGATTCTGTGCTGTATTTTTGCTGTTCTTTTAAAGTATATGCACTTTATCAATAAAAGAAAACATAAATACAGCAAGTGTTTTTTAGATAAACCTTGCAGGTTTTATCAGAGCTTGTAATTTTCAGGGGTTTTTATCAGGGTCCAGTATAGCAGAAGAGTTCTGGGCAATTTTAAAATTGTGAAGTTCTTGTAGATGCATTGAAATGTGATATTCACCCGTGTACCACCACCCCTTTTATATTATGCCGCAATAAGAAGCGCTGCTGCAGCCTTTTCATTATTCCAGCCAACTCTCTTTCCAACTGTAGTCGTAAATCTCTGCAGCCTAATTGCATTTTCTGAAAAATACAGGGACTTATAAATTAAAAATGAGATTCAGAATCCTGAGTAACTTCTCATTTCTGAAAAGTTGATTGATTGAAAAATATTTTCATCCCACGTATTTAGTTTAAATGCTGAAGTCGGTTTGTGAGTGTTAGGATTAAGGGTTTTTTCTGGATTTGTCCTCAGCACACGTATTTCTTAATTTTTAGCTTTTAGGCATAGCTTTTGATGTCAGGTTTAACTGCTAGAAGGGACGTTTGATTTTTTCACATCTGCTTGGATCCCTTAAGGTCTGTTGAGAGCTCTGGACTTGAGACCAGCTCAGCGGGAAGGGTTTTCTGACAGAATCCTTGGAGAGCCAGAAGCCCTGAGGCATGGGAACATGGCTCTAGCTGGAGGCACACGAGCCAAGTCTGAATTCATCAGAAAAGCTGACTCACTGGATGAGTAACTGTCCCTTACAATCAGATGACATAGCATCATGCGCGCTCGCCGGGCGTAGCTTTGAAAGCTCTGCGGAAAGAATTTCCCAGTACATTAAGCTTTACGGTCTTTGCTTGGGTGTACATCTGTCTTTGGGTTGCAGGAAAAAAGTCTCTGTGCTGTTGCAGCACGTCCAAGATTTTTGTTGTTTGTGTTTAGCTGTGGTGGTTTTCTCTGGATTTAAAGTTCTGTACAAGGTGGCCCAACCTGCTCTGGTTCAACATAATGGTCCAAATACTTGCTTCAACATTCTAGATTTCCAGTCTCTTTTGTTTTTCTTTCCACTTGGTCTTTCTTCTTGCCACTTTTAATTAGTTAGAACAGAATTTTGCTCCAGCTCTAATATTAAAATCCACTGAAAGTCTGAAGCTCCGATCTGCCTTCTCGATGTTGAGCTGGTGCATGTCGCACATAAATTTAGTACTAGAAAAATGAAAAAGCAAATTATTTTGTTTTGGTTTTTTGGTTTTTTTTACAGATAGCTGTGATAAGACACATTGTGTGCTTTCTTACATTCATAGTTAATGCTTACCTAGATAAAGGCATTCATTATTTATATCAAATAGAAGCCAAAAAGACAAAATGTAACTAACTTCATGAAATAGTTCTACTTAGTGAATAAATGTGTTGCTGAACTTTGTTATGATGCATTAAAAATGTGCGTCTGTCACAGGGGAACGCAAAATTCCCTTGCAGTTCGGTCTATCCCTTGAAGTGGAAATGGTTCAGCAACTGTTTTCCAATAGATAAAATAGCTTTAGAGCACCAGCTGAGCACTCACTATCTTTTAGTGGTAGAACTGGAATAGAAAAAAAAGATTTTGCAGAAGGATGTGGCGAAGGATTCACATCACAAATTCTCAGTGTGTAAAAAGACAGATGAAAGATGCAGAGTTGGGTTTTTTTTTTAATTGGTTATTTATGTAGTTTCTATTCAGATCTACAGTATTTCAGTCTATTCTGATTTGGGAATTATTTATTTTAAATCTAAGACCACGTTTGTGTGTGTAACACTTACGTTGATTAATAACATTAAATACAAATTCCACCTCTACATCCAGTGCTCATTTAATGTGTTTGAAATTAAAGTAAGCCTTCCTGATGGTCTCTCAGCAGTCACCCAATAAGATAAAGGCAAACCGCAGCTTATTTGCCTATATTTCTAAGTAAAATAAAAAAACCTAAGTGGAACTTGGATTTTTTTTTTTGCTGTGAAAGAACAAAAAGTATTACTTAAAATTTATATTACACATGAAATATAATTATTGTTGTTAGCAAACATAATAGCTCTTTATTGTAGTGAATTATTTCTGATTTCGCTCCTTCTGTTACCACTCTGTTTTACATATAATGAGAATACTTAAAACGGTATACGAACTGGAGTTTGTTTTTTATTTTCTTCTGCTATTTTGTAATTGTAATGAATATCTGAAGAAATATGGTGATAGTTTTTTTATTTTTTCCCTTTTTATCTTTTAAGGGTCCTGCTAAGAGAGATCCAGCTCAAAGTACCATCAAAGAAGACAAAGTCCATCTGTTGAAATTTAATATAGGAGATCTAGTGTGGTCAAAAGTGTCTGGTTTTCCATGGTGGCCCTGTATGGTTTCTTCTGATCCTGTTCTCCATTCCTATACTAAACTAAAAGGTATGTCAGTGATACTACAAATATTCAGATTTCTTCAGGTATACCTTATTTTTTGAAAATTCTGTTCTTTTTTCATCTGTTCAGCTGCATCAGTAACTGAATCAGCTCCTTGTTTTTGAAAGGAATGTTAAAATCACATAAACACTATCTGTGAGCATATAGAAGATGGAGCTTTTTTTCCACTATCTTATTAATTCTGAACATTCTCCAGAAGATTGCAAAATTGTGATTTATGAAACAGCGTGAAGTCGTATTAAAAAACTTACCTCATGGTAATTTCCATTGTTTTTGTGGAAATACGTGGAAAAGTGATGTGGCCTAAAAATTTTATTGAAAACTAATGGGAATTAAATACTCCTGATGATTATGCTTTCTAAAAGCAATCTGTAATTCAGGCAGCTAAATTTTCAGTGATTCATAGAATCAGCATTCATAGCTACAGACAACATTAGTTGATTCCAAACGCAAGGACTGCCAGGTATTAATGAAATTTTAAAGTGGAAATCTGTATGATTTGTTAATCTTTATTTGCATCTCTCTTCTGAAACTGTTGAGGTTTATTTGTGCTGGCCGTAGAATGATAAAGTAATACAGGTTGTAAAGAACCTCTGGAAGTCATATCGTTTCCGAGTTAGAGCAGGTTGCTCGGGGCCTTGGGGAGTCTGTGCTCGCTGCTCCCAGACACCTGCTTGTCTTTCCTGTGCTTGGACATGTCTTTTAGGAGAATTTGTCTCATAATCTTGTAGGTGTTGAGGGTAAGCTAGTAAGCCTAGCTTGTAATTCCCCAGGTTGTTCTTGTTTTTCTTGAAGACAGGTGCAGTGCTTGCTTTTTCCCTGACGTTGGGTGTTACCTCCCCTGATGGTTGTGACCTTGCAAAAAAAATTCTAGAGTTCAGCCTTGCAATCACATTGGCCAACACCTTGAGCTCCTTCTGAGGCATCTCGTACGGTCCCTTTAGCTCACAGATGTCCAATTTGATTAAGTGCTCCCTGACTTTTTTGTAATATGCTGTAGGTAGTTCATCAGCCTTGCAGGCATTATCACTGTACTAAGGGACCTGAAGGCTTGGGGGCAGATGTTCCAATTTAAAAAGCAAACAAAAACCTGAGGAAAAAAAGCCCTAGAGAACCCCAGCCTGTGTCCTTTTTCACCCAGCCCCCTGCCCCAGTGAGCAATCTTTAGCCTTTCTTTCCCTGCTGTTGTGTTTACAGAAAATCTTCTTGCTGCCTGTTGCATCCCTTCACTAGTTTTAACTCCAGCTGAGCACTGTAAACAATTTTTTTACTGTGTTTATGCCAAACATTGTGAAAGTTTAGAAAACCTGGAAACAGAATCCAGAACACTTGCAGATTAAGGAGAAAAGCGAGAACTTAATAGTTCTCATTAAGTTCAAGTCAAAGTAGGAGCCACATACCTTTGTTTTGATATTTATGCTTCTAAATGCTTTAATGTATTTTAATAAATCAAGTGAAAGTATCAACTTCTGTTATTATGAACAGAGTATGACAGTTATTTGCCACTAGAGATTTCAGTAACTTTGAACTATATATTTCAAAGTCTGCGAGAGGAGTGGTTTTGTGTGGTTTTTTTTTTTTAATGTAGTTTTCAAGGATTGAATTGAGGGAACAGACTGGAATATGCATATAAAATTTGCATGGAATTACAAATTTCCAGTGTGGAGGGACTGTAAACATGTAGGATTGGAAATCAGAATTTTTGTCACTTTGGAGGTGTGGTCTGAAAAAAAACGCAGTTCAGTAGGAGTAAGTGCTGCATTTTTACAGTGGTAGGTGATCGAGCTGGGAAATGAGTGGGAAGCTGTATTTTTGCAGAAAGGAATCTGAGACATGCAGTAACCTATCGTAGTTTTCTCTCCAAAAAGACCGAAGTCATGCAGATGTAAATTAGTAGTGCTGCTTATAAGAAGCGTGAAGTAGATACTTTGATTTTTTAGAGTGGCAGCATGGCCTCAGCAAGAGTACTTTGTTCATTTTGTCGTTTGGGCCATTGCATTTCAAGAAACTTGAACTAACCAGAGAAGGTTCTGAGGACAGCATGAACAGTAGTCTAGGAGTCTACCAGATGGAAGGAACCGGGGCTCTTTAGTCTGACAAGGAGGAGCTAAAGGAGAACCTAGCAACTGGCCTTAAATAAAGTTGCATACAAAGAAGAAAAAGTAGAAACACTTGTTCTGGGAAGAAGAGAGCATAGTAGCGATGAGTATTTAGATTATATATTAAGAAGATCTTGAAAGAGATGAAGATGGTGAAGATGGGGGATTGCCTGGAGAAATGGTGTTATCTCATTCATAGGAATGAGAAACAAGGCTGTTGTTTTTTCCTGACTGAGTTACAGAATCACACTTCCTTGAAAGGAGCATGGTTTGTGCTTCACTATCAAGAATCTCTGGGGTAGCTTTTTATAAGAAACTGTATAAAACAGATCTTGCAAAAAGTAATGTCAAATGTCTGAATGCAACCTGTGGAGTACTAACAGAAAGAAGGGCCCACATACTTTGGGATGTAAACTTTCTTCTCTTTGAAGTAATATGGACGATGGTAGTTTCTGACACTTGCTCTGGAGCTGGCTCGGGCCCTGCCTTTCACTTTGGGAGGTTCGACTAGGTCTGGGCAGCCATAATAGCTGGTGAATGCTCATGGATGTGCGTGTTTCCATCAGTATGTATTTCCAGTCTTGTATTATCTTCCACCTACCATTTACTGTTAAAGCACTATCAAAAGTCCCCTGTTCCAAGCAGAGAATTTCTTTTAACCAGGAGTTGCAGAAGTACTCAGCTGGGTCTCTCTGCATTTCTCATTTCTAGGGTTAGGATTGACAGTGTTTAAAACAATCTGAATTTCTGGATGCTAATACCTGATTTCATCAATCCAGATGGTGAAGCTTTACAAAAGTTTGTAACTTCCAAGTTGTGGGATGTACACTTTTGTGTAAGAAGGCATATATTGAGTCAAACTAAAGCTCCATCTAATTCAATATTGTCTCTGATCAACCACAGATGCTAGGATACAGAAGAAAACAAGTAATAGTAATGATTCCCCAGAACACTCTTCAGAACCTTCAGTAGCTGGGGGTTCTGGGATTATTATTTATTTGTATATAACAACCCTGAATAAATTCCATTATTTTATCCAGGAACGTTGATGTGAATTCAGCCCACAGATGATACCTGAAAATTCACAGATAGGTTCAGTGATTTTAGTAGTAGGTACTATTATTTAGACTCCTTAATTAGACAGTTAGAGCTGTCCAGCATTATATTGTAGAAGGAATAGCATGTCTGTGTCTGCTTGGAACTGGGCTGCTGGCTGCTCAGAAGCAGATTGTTACAGGTGGTACGAAATGTAATCTGTGCCATCTCTCTGCAGCCAGGAAATCCTGGTAGAACACAAAAATTGTGCTTTATTTCATCATAGACAGATTAAGTCACTGAAGCTCAGTAGTCCATAGTTAAGTAAGTTGTTTTTTTTTTTAATGGAGACAAAATAATTGCTGTGCCAGAGAATGGCTCCTGACTGTGCAGTAATGAAACACGTATTAGACTACTGGACTGGATGTATGATGGATAAAGTCCCAAGAGCTTTCTTTCCCTGTGCCATTCCTCTACAGTCTCATATCTGACCTCAGAAGTCATTAGTGTTCTTGTATCTCTCATGCGTGGTTTTTTGTATATCTCTCTCTATAAAGACATATGTGATAGTTAATAAAAGTTATGCACATACCATTAATTAGGTTGATTTTATATTACTGTTGCAGATGCAACATCTTGAGACAAGATCAAGCCCCTTTAAAAATAACTACTGGCTCAGTAATTATGAAAATAAAGTTCTAAGTCTAAAAACCCCACTAATAATGGTGCATGAAGCAATCAACCAGATGTATTTGCTGATTAAGGTGGAAGACACGCAGTGTATGACCAACCTAGCAAAATCTGAACCTGCTTTGAAGACATCTGTAATGGAGAACTGGGACTGTTCATTATTGTCACCGGGTAGATGTTCTCACCTGTTTTCCTCCCAGGAAATTAAATTTTGAAGGTGTTGCCTTCCCCCTTCACTGCAGAATAACTGAGATCGGTAGAAGGACAAGGTTGTATGCCTATCTTAGTACAGTGAGGCAGTACTTCTCTTTACAATCTTACACTAACGTTTTTTCTCTAGATTTCAGAATTGTTCTCTTACTTACCTGCTGTCCCTTCTCTACCAGTACCCAAATCCTTTTCATTTCTTGCTTTGACTCCTTAAAAGCTTGATTAAGATGATTACAAGTGTTAAAACTAGGTGAAGTACATGTGTTTCTGTTCAAGAATATTAAAAGATAAAGTTAAGGTGAGTTAGAGGTGAGGCCAAGTGCACAGGCTCTCCAAGCTGTAAAAATCTTTTCAAATGTAGCAGAAACATCCAGGCCTATGCGTAAGTTAATATAAGTGGAAAAGCACTGTTGGGTAATTGTAACCTTAAGTTAATTTAGCAAAGCATATTGTTTGGAATTGAACTATTGGGCTTTTATATCAAACTTCATAGATTATAGCTCAGAGACTTTCAGGCTGTTTAAGTTGGTTTTTGAAAGCTAATTAGTTGTATTGTGGTATTGCCATTTTAAGTATAGCGGTTTACAAAAGACTCCAAGTCTAGAACTGTGGAAAACACCCCAAGTTGTGTCTTAAATACGTTCATTTTTAATTTTCAGGACAGAAAAAAAGTTTTCGTCAATACCATGTTCAGTTTTTCGGAGATGCCCCAGAGCGAGCCTGGATATTTGAGAAGAGCCTTGTGCCCTTCAAAGAAAAAGACCAGTTTGAACAATTATGCCAGGAAAGTGCGAAACAAGCCCTCACTAAAGCAGAGAAAATAAAGGTAAGAGTCTGCTAAGTCAGAAAAGATTTGCAGCGTTTTATTTTACTGTTACAGTTATGTACAGATATATATATGCTTGAAAGCTCTAAAGACAACTTGTTTTACAGAGGCTTGTAGACTTACGTTTCACTTACAGATGCAAAGAATGGGATGATTTACCACTGTTTGTTACTTATAAAAATCTGTGCTCTTCTGCTTAGGCATTGATTCCTGCGGGGTATTGGCAATGTCAAATACAGTTCCATTTGAGCCTCTGAATTATAATTAGACATTGCACTTAGTGTCTTGGAATCATTTTGGGTTAACATTGGCATTTTGAAGTCCAAAGTGGGCAGATTTCTCACACCAACATCCTACCTTGCAGATGTTAAAGCCTGTTCCAGGGAAGCTGCGTCCGCAGTGGGAGATGGGTGTTAAGCAAGCGAGTGAAGCAGTGGGCATAGCGGAAGGCCAAGTACACCTTCATCTACGTTAGGGACAGACCTCACCTTAATCCGCAAGTGGCAAAGGAAGTTGGCATTGCCGTGGAACCGTTAGAGGAGACAGAGGAGTCGTCTTACTCAAACGAAGAAACCACTCAAAATCTGAAATCCATGAAGGATTCTGGCATTCCTAACAAGAGGAGGAGAAGGACATCCAAATTCTCTGCCGCTGATGATACGCAAGAAAGCAGTCAGTCAGGGACTAAGAATACCACTCCTCAAAAGTCATCTGAACAGGCAGAATCCAAAAGAGGGATAGGCTCCCCTCTCAGTAGAAAGAAGACTCCAGCATCTACTCCACGAAGCAGGAAGGGCGATGCAGTGTCTCAGTTTTTGGTCTTTTGTCAGAAGCACAGAGATGAGGTGAGTCTTTTTTTAGCTGTTATTGTTGTTGATTGCTTCTTCTCATTTCTGTATTTAAAGAAATTTCGACAACAACTGGATATTACTGTATAATAATCTGGGATTGAAATCTTAGTCTGGGCAGGAATACAGGAAGAAGGGAAAGCAAATGAGCAATTTAAACAAGAGTGGTATCGCTAGTGTACTTCAAGCATAAGTCATGCTAGTATCTTCCTACACAATCTTTATATTAGCCATTTTTTAAAAAATGTACATAAAACATAGTAGATATGCATGCTCAGGCAAGTATAACGAAGTTTATGCTATTTATGGTAATCTGCTTGTAGTTAGCTTGTACATTCTTTCTGAAGATATGGCTGAATTCCTTCAGTGTGTTCCCTTGTCTTTGAACTCCACAAAAAAATCCCTTTGCAAACCTAGAATCTCTTGCTGAGCTTCAGAAGAAGCTGGTTACCAATGCTTGTGAAAATCAGTCAGTATGCAGTCTGCTGGGACAGAAGGTAGGTCCTCCTGAGAGGATTAGTCTCCAAGACACGGTAGAATAAATGAATACCTTGACCTCAGGATTTCTTAGGAAGACTGTTACAAGTGTAAAAGCAGTGCTGCTGTTCTAGCTCTGTACTTCAAAATCAGCACCATCGTTTTTCTTCCTTACAACCCTCTAGTCCATTGTAGTACAATTCTGTGCACTGAAAGAACCTGAGTTCTGGTATTTTCTTGTAATTGTACTGTTCCATAATACCCACAGAAGGACCGGAGACTTAGTAGAGACTTTGTCACACTCCTTAGCTACTGAATAGTTGACTCCATTGTAAGATTGTAAGATATTTGTGTTAGAAAGTGTTAATAGATGTGACCTTTATAAAGAAAAATAGATTCTATTGTATGGAAGCCACTGAATTGTGGTTCAGCTTAGGATTATTTTACGTCATTTCAACTTAAGCTCATGTAGAGAATGCAAATGAACACGACGTTATGTGTACTTTTTAGTGGCTTTGCTTAAATTGAGAAAAGCATTGACACTTCAGTTTGCTGGCTCTAGAAAGGGAAGCATTTTGTAGCCAGACTGTTAAGTACAGATTTTGACATACTCATTATGAATGGGCAAAAATTTTTGTCTCATGTTTGAGAGACTTGAGTTCTATTTCCACTTCTTCTGTCAGTAACCTTCTGTCTCGTACAGTGGCAAGGGGGAATTTCCTTGGCTTTTAACGTAGGTAGCAAGAAGTCTTGTGCAATATTGGCAGATACGAAATTACTTCTCTGGAAGAAATGAGATTACTATGTCTGGATTTATGGACTCTTAGCCAAACATATCTTACCACAGAGGAGACAACGCTGAGTCTCTGATTTTATATTTCTATATTCTGTGCCAGTTATCAAGCTTCATTCCCTCCTGTGGTTATACTGTAATTCTCAAATTAATAGATGGAAAATAGGAAGGTTATTGCAATATTTGATGCTGAGGAATTGCTTTGTCTTCAGTTCATTTCACGAAATTGAAAAACTTGTATAAACTTGAAAAATCACAGTGATGATAGTAGCTAATGTTGTACAGTTTTAATTGAAAGGAAGTAGATTTCAAAATATTACCTATATTTAGAGAGAGGACATCCTGTCATTTCTGCCTAGAATACCTTTTAATAGGATCAGTCATGAAAACCCAAGCCACTTGACTGTGTGATCTAACAGACGCAGAAGCCCTCCTGTGTGTACAACAGAAGTAGGTTTTGAAAACTGCAGATACCAGGTCACTGCAGGTGCCAGTCCCTCTGGCCAACCAGGACAGCAGAACCTGTCTTTCCTTTTTTCTTGATTTGAAGTTAACTGATGAAGTGGGGAAATACATCCTGTTGTAGATATTCAGGCTTCTTGCACAGAACCTGAGTTACCTGAGTTCAGTTAACACCTCCAGCCTGTCATGTCGCTTTTAAAGTGGCAGATTCGTGCCTTTGGTAGAAGGTGGAAATAGTACCTGAATTGGTGTTGGGAGTTTCCCCTTCTGCTATGCTTATCTGGTTCAATTTGCGTGGTTTGCTTTCCATCCAAGCGTTTGTTTCGTTGTTTTAGGTGTTCTGATGCTTCAGAAGGAATGACAATAATGATGGATAACTACTTGTGTTGGTGGCATCTGAGAATTTAGTGTATGACTCCTTCAGTGTTTGAACGTAGAAACGTAGAAGAAAGGAAGACTGTGGATCCAGAAGGGGCTTTCTGGGCTCCACACCTGGGAAGGGATGAATGTGAATGGAAAAGAATGAATGAAGACTTCTCTTTTGGGGCCTCTAATAATCATGAGCTCTCTTAGAAGTAAAATCCCTTCTGCTGTGTCTTGCTTGGAGTCCAGCTTTCTACAGTAGTGGGATTCATATATTGGGTTGGTTTTATAAATTACTATTTTGTGTTCTACTTTTTCTGGGGACAGGAGGGTGAGGAATAGCTGAATTTTTTAGAAATGAATAATGGCTGCTGGAGGAAATGATGGATTTGAGAGGCATGCTTCCCTGAGGGAGGTGTTGAAAGCTTGGAGCACTTTCAAGGTTGTAATGACGCATTAGGTATTTTGTGCTGTTACTAAAGGAGTAAAGATATATCTTGAGCTATTGGCATTCTTAGACGCTTCCTCTGTGAAATATAACTGTAGTAATCCACTAGAAGGGAGTGTTTGGCTTGAGACAAAGGTATCCTTCAGTGACAGGCAGACGGTTATACGGTTTATAATAATCCATTGTTTTGGGCCTTGAATCTGTTTTGAGGTAAATGAAGAAATATTTTCACTCACAAGGTGTACACTTCAAGGTTTCTGCATGCGTAAGGAGTTTTTGAACATCACGACAAATAAGAGCGAAGTAATACGCTTTTCTTGGATGAGCTAGGACGTCCCTGGTCCAATTACTGTGTTTTCCACAGCTGTTAATTTCTACATCCAAGAAAAGGTCATCTGTGTGTTCTGTAGCATAGTTAGAGTAAGTACCTCTAGTGCAGGATTTTCATGTACATCAAGATACTGGATGTATCATTTCCAGTATGTATGCCAGGACGGAGTATTACACTTGAGGATGACAACTTTGGGGAAGATGGGTGGGCTTTTCCTTGGAGGCCTTCGTTGCAAGGATCTCTTAAACATTAAGAATTACAAGGGTCTTTTTGCTTGTTGTTTCACAGACAGATGAGAGATGGTTTTATTTCTATTTTGGTGAGACTGGAGGTGATGTTAATAAGCTGTGTCTCATTTGTGCGAACAAAGCTAGTTGTTTCTTAGAGAATTAAGTAACTCTGTGCCCTAGTCGAGCACAATGAACTATGTACTTAGCAGCAATGGTCAAAATTAGTGCTAAATTCTCTTTCCAAAGAGGTGAAATCTGTGGGAGAGGTATCTTGTCGATCTATCTACATTCTCCCCTCTCAATAAATTTGCTAGGGTTGTTGGATTTTAATCAGACGTCTTTTGAGTAGAGGCCTCCAGCGGTAGTAATATTCTCCAAGCTTTATGCGGACGGGTTTTGCCGTACAGAAGCAAGAGAACTCTTAATACTCTACTAGGGGAAAAATTACAGCATGCATTTCCCTACTAGACACTGAATAGTCCCAGTGGAAGGAAGGTGCTACAAGATTCTAACTCCTGGAGAAGGTTTAGTCACGCTTATATCTTGTTTGACAATGGGAAATGCAATTTAAGACACTTAAGTTCTAAGAAATTAGGTTTAATAATTTTCACTTAGCACAGAATATTTGTATTTCTATTCTATTGAGTGGTGTCACTGTTTGAATGCTGGGCTTTGTTGGCCTCGTTTTTATTTTGCCCCATGATTCTGTGGTATTGCTTGCATCACTCCAGTAACAGGATTTTGGAGGATGCTGGGTAATGAGATGAAAGGGGTAGTTATTAAAGCTACTCTTTCATTTCTGTAGGTTGTGCAATCTCCGAGCTTTCTGACTTCTATAGTTAATCAAATCTGGTTTTTCTTAAGTAGAAGTATGAGAATACTGAAGGAGTTTGGGAGGATTTTTTTCTTTGGTTTTAATACTGGATTTTCTATTTACATTGAATAAATTTCAAGAAACACTCTTAAATTCCGCCTTGATAGCTATTATCTATCGTGCTCATATTGTTAAGAAAGAATGGACAAGTTTTTGAGTTCCTTATACTCGTATACATAGTATAAAATGATGAATTAATGCAGGAAAACGTTGCACCAGACGCTAGCTTGTGTAAATCTCTCTGCTAAGATAGGTCTCATGAGTTCTATGTTTAATGAGTTCTCCTATGAATTGATGGCTGTCTTTGTAGGCAAGCATATATTCCAATATTGCTCATCTGTCTTGTGTGGTATAGAGTTAAACTTCATCAAGAAATAATAGAAAATTTTTTTAATGACCTTAAGGCAAAATTTATACTTACTCCATCTTTTTAATATTAAAAGGCAAATAGATGCTTCCAAAATTATTCCTGATACTTCTGAATATGCTAATAGATTATTTTTTTAGAGAGACGGAGAGAAGTGGTTATTCAAAGAAAAACTGGATACAGAGGATTTTAATCTAGCTCTGTCTGCAGCAGAAATGTTAGACAACTTGTTTGTCTCCAGTTCTCCAAATCCACAGAAGCATGTACGCCATTCCTTTCAGTGGTCACCCTTTTTTAATACAACCCTATTTCTGCATGTGTAGGTGGTTGCTGAACATCCAGATGCTTCGAGTGAGGAGATTGAAGAATTGCTCGAATCGCAGTGGAACATGCTTAGTGAAAAACAGAAAGCTCGCTATAACACAAAGTTTGCCATAGTGACCTCTCCCAAATCTGAAGAAGACTCTGGTAAACGTAAAACTGTGCTAGTGTACTCTAACTAAATTTGATATACATAGTGGTGTTAAACTAAGCACATATTTGAGACCTGTCGGGAAAACAGCTTGCACTGTTTTCCAGTTTTAATTCTTGGTGTTTGTGCCAATAGCGAAGGAATGCCAATGGTTAAAATAAACGCAACCCACGAAGTCTACATTTCTTGCTCGTTGTTCTGAAAAGTTGTTCTATGTAAACCTTCTGCTGTTTAGAGATTTCTGGTTTCTCATTCTTCTTCTGCCCATAAGCAGCTGCCATTGCATCCACTGCTTGTTATGAGTGGATGGTGGGAAGGGAAGACCAAGTGTTACTCCGAGGAAAATTTGAGCTGGATTTTTATAGAACAGTTAGGAGACAGTTAAAAAAAAAAGTTTAATCAGTGCTACACCTTTTCTTCATGTATACCTAAAGTATATTACCTCACATCATCAGCAACTCAGGAAGAAGTATTCCAAACTTTATTCTGAAACTTTCAGCTGTTTGGCATTTTATTGTGCTACTCAAAGTTTTTAGGACATTGTACAAGATAGCAAACACTTTTTGGTTTTTTAATCTCTCCTTTAATTTTTTTTTGTTGCTGTCGTCTGGCGTTTGGTATTGATAAACGGTCTCAATTATTTTGCAAAATATTTGACGGGTTTTGGATTCACTTATTTGAGAAAGGAGGAAGGAAGGTACTTTGACATTTGCATGAACTTTATGAAATTTAACTGGCTATCATTTTTCAAATTTAAATAGCTTTATGGCACTGTAAGAAGATTTAATGAAAGTATTAGAAGCCAACAGGTGCTGCTTTGGGCAATGACAAGAATGAGAGGGAGTGTTTGAAAGTTTGTGAGACTTGGAAAAATTTGTATAAAAATGGCAGTCAGTTTTGTTAATTATCTGTGTGTGTGTGAAATAACATCATTTTGTGAAAAATTGAAAAGTTTTTAACTTAAAATTTTAAGTGTCAAATATTTGGATATCAGTTTAAAAAAAAACACACATTCTGTATCTCTCAAGGTTCATCATTGAAGAATATTGGAGAGGCCAAACGTAAAGTGTTTCAAGACTCACCTAAAAGGAGATCAAGATCCAGAAGTAATTGAAATTTGTGTTGTGTGCAAATAGTTCATCATTATAAGTAGCTATTGAGTGTATTTTTTTATGTAATCGCCCACGTATCATAATCTCTTTATTTTTATCTCAGATGTTGTCTTCCTTGACGTTAGACTTTTAATGGATCCCAAATTAAATATCTAAACACTGTAGTGCTGAATTTTGTTCACCTTCCTCAGTGTCATATTGCAAGAAATGTAATTGAAATTGTACCTGTACCAGGTGTTTCTAGTACATATATTGTGTACGTTTATAGTTATCTGCAGATGGAAACATGTCAGTTCAATCGTTCCCCTACCCAAATCCTCCTACCTTAAACTTGGAAGAATATTGTGGGATTTCTTTTGCTGGCTTTTTGTAAGTAGCAGGTTCTCCTGGAGCCATTTCAGTCTGCTTTGTGGATTAAGAGTCTGATATTAGAATACGTCCTAGACTGTTTAGATAAGAACATTAATTTGAAGATTATATTTTCAAGTCGCTATTTTTTTAGTATTTGCAGCTCTTTGCTCCCACTGGAGTAGAATGCTTGTAGCTGTAGGGCAATGCTCAGTTAACACGTGTGTGCCCCTGGAGCTTGCAATCTTCATGCTGATAAGACTTCGTAGCTTCATAAACTAGAGAGTGCTGGAAAGCGCAATAATGTTGTAATTTCATCCTGATGAAACAGACCACTTCCTAAACCTTCACCTATGATTTTGAGGTAGAGCGAGTGCAAACAATAGCCGAGCCTGTGGAAAGGGTATGTGGGTCACCGACCTCTTGTAATTTAGCAGCTGCCTGAACTTTACGGTGAATGTTCATCTGAATACGTGAATGAGCCCGTTGGTTTAAAATGACCAATGTGATTCTGTTCTTAGGATTTTGGTTCACAGAGGAAAGGGATCTCATGGTCTCCTGTAAAATACGAGTAAACTTGCCAGAGAGAGTCTGGAACTGCCGTACCGGAAAGAGAGAATTAATCTGTACGGTTAGTGATACCGGGTCTTCCTCAGAGGCCCCTTAATAGATGTCACCAGTATTTCCATCTGTATGGTCTGGAGAGCTTAAAGGAGACTTAAGAAATTTGTATCAGTGATTAGACCCTGTTACAGAGTGGCAGGAGAGTTAGAAGTTTTATAGTTCAACCTTGTGCAGCCTGACAAGATGAAACAGGTATTGGGCAGTAATATTCACCTCTTAAACTAGTGCTTATACAGGTAGAGTCATTGTTTTAAAATAACTTGAGTATGAAGCAGTTGATTTGGATGTGTTCTAGTTAGTCTTCAGCACCAGAAAACAAGACCTTAAGCATTAAGAGGTCAAACTGTGTTAATGTTTAACCATGTTTTAAAAGTAATGACTGAAAGAAAAGTTACTTAAAATAACTAGATCAGTTCAAAATAATTTGAAAGTGGGTTTTAGATTATTTTTCATGTAAGTTTCCCCCATCCCCCATCCCAAGGTAACTTACATGGAAATAAAAGAAACCAAAAAAAGAGGACAAAGGAACCTACAGAAGATTTTGAAGTTCAGGAAGCACCTAGGAAAAGACTCAGGATGGATAAACAGAATAATCGGAAGGTAATTATGTCGTTGGTTTGTTTGGGTTGATTTATAGCAGCACCAGTCCCATTGCTGTAGTTAAGTTTGTCAGCATTTCCGTTTTCAGGATTCGAAAAGTAATGTCTGTGTATCAAACCAAACTTGTAAATACTCCATGTGAGATGGCTTCTGTGGGTTTTGTTTTGTTTTGTTGTTTTGGTTTTTCCCTGTGGTTTGGAGGATGGAGGTATGACAACTTGCACTTGCTCCTTAAACTGTGGTTGAAAATGTATGCTGAGAAAATCTGTTTCCCCAAGGAGTGTGCAGAGGTATGACTTTTCTGTGTTGTCATGCTTTGTAGTTCTTTTTCTTTCCTCCAGAACTGGAGTTCAGGGATGTAAAAAAAAAAAAGAAAAACACCAAACAAAAAAACCTTTAGTCAATATTAATTTGGACTGAAGTTGTGGGGAGAGAGGAAAGCAAGTAAAGCAAAACAGAAAAGCTGCTTTTCAAGAACTGGAAGCCTGTAGAACATTTGAGAGTGCCATGCTGACCCATGTCTTCATTTAGGAGACTGCAGTAAATATTACATTATATTTATCGCACAAATCATGGGCTCCTTTTCAGTTTAGCTTGCTTGTGAGAGTGAGAATTTTCTTTACACAAGTCACTAAAATTATGCATATGGATACAGCCCAAATCTTGGAGGGGCTTAAGCGTAGCTTTATTTAGTCATACGTGTAGACCAGTGAACTTCACGGGTTTCATTGGTGTGGAAAGCTTAGCTCAGTATTGTATCCTACCGTAGAGTGAGTATCACAGATCTTATCTCAGGACTTGAGTGTACAGCAGTTAAACAGAACAACCTGATGTAAGGAAATGTAGTGGATTTATTTTTTAAATTAATTCTGGAGGTTACACTTGTAGACATCGGTTTGGTAGGCTGGTTATTGTGGCACCTCTGTTGATATCGTGGATACTCAGACAATTTGTTTGGAGTTCAATGTAAAAAATAAATAGAAGTAAAGGTAGCCAAGCTTTATGAGCTTATTAGTAAAAGATAAAGATAATTCTTTGAGAAATGTTGTAACCTGTGCAGAAAGGAAGGCCAAAACCGGTTTTGCACTTCTTAGTCTAATGGATTAATTGTTGAATATTCATTTTATATTGTAGGAGAAGTTTTTTGGTCCCCTTTTAAACCTGTCTAATCGATTTGAATTCACTTTATTAGACTAGATCCATGGAATAATTAAGTTTGCTTGTTGTAATTAATTCCTGCTATGAAGCCCTTGCTTTGACTGTCCTCAATTTATTTCTTTACTGTCCCCTCAGCATTTGAACACTACAATTAGCCTGTGTTATCACGAGCAGAACGAAAGGTGGTTGCAGTATAGTTCAGGCAGAGGAGGTTCTGATATCTTTGATGCTGTGATACAGATGTGAATATTAACAGGATAATAAATAAATCAGATTAATGATTCCCATTAGATACATATACCAGTAGTAACACTGGCTTAGTAACGTGCATTTAAAAAGTGTTGTCCTCTATCTGATCCGTTTAGCGGAACTAGTTGCAAGGAATCTGGAGTGTTTGAATATGAGGTAATCTGGAAACTCTAAATGTGCACAGCAGTCTTGATGCTTCTGTCCACCCAAAGGTCATATATCATAGAATGGTTGCTTTGCAGTTTCTTTTAAGAATTATCTCTCAGTCTATTTCCTGCCTTTACCAGCCCAGGGTGCTTCCAGCTGTATGTGCTGCTGCTTAGGAAAACGTTTAGTGAGTGGCAGGAAAAAGTCCATGTAATGATTTAAAAACCCAAATGCTAACCTTACGCTTTCTTTCTACTATTCTCAGCTTACCTGCAGGCTTTTGATGCAATCGTTTGGGAAAGGAGGAGCTTTAATGACTTTTTTTCACGACGTTTTACTTCTTGCATGAGTGTTGTGCCTTATCCTCCCCTTTTTGTCGTTAGTTCTTATTTATGAAACGGGAATGTTTTCACACAAAGTCATTGCGTCATGAAAGTTTTGAAAAACTAATTTGTTCATCGGCGCTTTCATGATGTGTGTAAAATGCACGTTAACAGAATGGGGGTTTTGTAAAGCATGCTTTGAACTGAAGAGAGAACTGTAGTGTACGTTTTCCTTCATTTTTACAGGGAAGTGTAACAGTAATCTTACAAAACTGATATTGGGAGCCTGCGGTGGCACTCGCGGTAGAGCATCTTAGTTTACTTCAAAGTCAGTAAAAACACAGTGTAGCACATCTGCAGAACAGTAGCCATTCCTGTTTATTTTTACAAAGAAAGTGAGTACTATGGCCTTTGAGGTGTTCACCTGCACATCTTTTGTCTGATGAAGAACATGAAAACGTATGTAAAACCCGGTGTTGGGTGGAATTATTGCTGTTGGTCAGCGTTAAACATCTTGGCTACAATTTTAGTGATGTAATACTGGAATGAACCTGTATCCTAAAAAAAAGAAAAAAATTAGTGGCATGTGTGAGGAACAGTATCTAATTTTGACAGCCTTGACAAAAACTTTGCCAGTTTTCAGCCTGAACTTTTACTGAAAATCGTCAGTCTGAAGCATGTTGTATGTTGTTTATGCTCCCTTGAAAATACTGGGCTTATTTTGGAAATGCTGAAACAATCTTAACCATAGTAATTTAAAAAATGGCACTGCTGTAAGTTGTGGAGTTGAAAGCAAGCCTCTCTGAGACTTAAAATTCTGCACAGGGTGTTTTTTTCTCAAATTTACATACTAATTCTGCAGTTTACCTTTCATAATTAAAGGTTTTAACTTGACCAATTTAGACAAAGGATAGTAAGGATGATTTACATGTTTTGTGTTCGTTTGGAGCTCCCCTTTTTGATATGCTGAGTTTGGGATGGATGAGTGGGATGCTGGAATACTGTGTTCTTTAGTTTTCTCATTTGTTTATGGGTTTGTACCCTGTGCTGTAAATGAGTTTTAAAAATCATTTGAATGGGGCTAGCTTAACTACACTACCATTCCGATATTTGTAAAGACACTTTCTTTTTAATAACATAAATCCAGAAATAATTGCCAGTTTTATCCAACCACTCATAAATTAGGAGTTTTTTTATTTTTTCATATTTTTTTTTGTGACAGAGGGAGACAAGCAATGACAAAACAGCAAAAACAAACTCTTCTAAGGTCACAGAAACCTCCTCTTCACAAAAGAACCAGTCAGGTAATGTGGTCAGAATAAGTTTTAATGTAACTTTTGCAATTAAATAATTTTAAAATAAACAGGGTGTCTGAGGCAGCCGGCTAAATTTCGCTGGCGCAATAAGCAGTTGCAGCCGCCGTGCCCCAGCTGCGGGTGGGGGAGCATGCCCTCTTCCTTCACTACCACCATTCGGCAGCGTTATCCTTGACTGGAATTGCGCGTTGCTGATTTGGAGCAGCAGTTCGCAAGTTCACCATTTGATGGCACCAAATTAAAGCTGTTGCCCTGTGAGCTTGGCGAGCCGCGATACAAATCCCGCCGCTCCAGTCTGTCCTGCGTTACAGCCCGATAAAACACGGGCAGTGCCCATCGATGTATAATCCGTCGCTGTGCGATTTGCAGCCCTTTCAAATGATGCTTGATGGGAGGCAGTGGGGAGCATCAGAGGGAATTCTAAATAACCTTGGCCCAAAATCCAAAAGTCAGACTTGCTAATGATTCTGGGGTTTAAGGTAACTTGCGTAAGCGCATGTCTCTCTAGGTTTTATGATGATATGTGCCAAAGAGAAGTAAGCTTCAGCAAGTTCTGCGCGATGTAGGAGCGGTGCCGCGCCGCAGGTCACGTCTGGTACCTGGCTCCTGTGTGGAACTTTTCTCTTAACAAAGTGTTGGTGGTACTCGGGTTGTGATGAGATCACGTAGGCCTTCTAATGTTTGTCTGAGGAGATAACTGTTACCTCTGCTTTAAAGAGGTTGTAAGTTCCAAGATGTTTTGATTTTAATAGAAATGAGCCAAAAAAAAGAATTGGGAAAACATTTTCTGGCCATTTGCAGTATGTATTTGATAATAGAAACCTCTCTATTTTTAAAATCAAGCCAAAACACGTGGTTTCAGAAACTTGCTTCGTGTTCTCTCAGGCCTACGTAGGTGCCCAGAAGACCTACCTAAATCATTCCTTCCTTTATCTGAAGGAATATTTTAAATGGCTTCAGGGAGATAACTTTGTAAAGTTCCAAACTTCACTTTGTAAACCAAAATTATTTTACAGCAACGAAAAATCTGTCTGATGCATGTAAACCTCTGAAGAAGCGAAATCGGGCTTCAGCAGCAGAATCTTCAACTCTTACTTTTAGCAAGAGTTCATCTCCTTCAGCTTCCTTAACTGAGAATGAGGTAAAAAAAAAGTGGTGTTTGCACACAACCATTTAATTACAGAAATTTTCAGGTGTGAATCTTGTTTAAAAGCAAAAATCAAAGGCGAATTCTCTAACATTGGTGCTCTAGACAAGTTACAGTTTTGGCCTCTGTGAAACCTGTTAATGTGTGCATTGCAAATTCATTTATTGTAATACGAACGTCTGATTTGGGGACGTCGAGATATTATTGTGGTTTTTAATGTATTTACCAACAAAGTTTTAGAATTGTAACCTTCTATTAGAGGCAAAGTAAAATGCCAGTGTGTTCTGTATTTTCTTCTACAGACTTTATGTAAGTGTACTACATTAGTTACATTACGTAACTCAATATTGTCATGTTGCCATAGCTTTTATATTGAAGCAACGTTCCTAATCCTCTGTTTGATCTAGAACTGGACGGTTTCTGAGCAGAGCCCCTTGAAGCTCAAATTAGTTTTCAGGCAGTTTAAATGCTATTTCTCTGTGATGCAAATAGCTTCATCCCCAGTAGAGTTAAACAGGCAGCAAAGGATGTATCTTTTTGATACTTACTAATCATAGTTTTAGCTCTGCATATTTGGAACTTAATTCTTCTCAATTGACATACAATAAATGAAACGTATGTACCAGAAGCGTATTCATACAATCCATTAGACCATTCCCCAGGTCATCTACACTATTAAAAACCGATCAGCCAAAGAGTGGCAGCATGAGGGTGAAGTATGCATGCTGGTTTACTGGTGGATCCAGAAATGTAGTTGGTGGGATTAGTAAAATACCTGTAGACAAACAGCTTCAAGCGGTTTGTAGCACAAAAGCTGTAGAGAAAATACTTGCCTGCTAACAAGGGAGTAGGGCTTCCAGCTTTCCTAGAGACTCTTTCATCTCCCCTAACAAACGCATGAGGTGCTTGGACACCAGAATGAATGCAGTTCAAATATCTAGACAGTGTTCAGTAAATGGTTTACCTTTGGGTGGGGGGAAAAAAGATTGCATGTTAAGGGCTTTATATCTTGCTGTAACTGGAAAAATATTTTAACAAAAAAAAAGCCACAAATTCTCCCTCCTTTACCCCAATAAAACAAGCAAAGGAAGGCCCATGGGAAATAATATCCATAGCAGAAGTCAGGTAAAGTAATACTTGTTCTCGTTTTGTTCTCTCAGTTGAGAGACTCCCCAGCTACTGGTTTACCAGCTTCTACTGATTTTGGCTTTACTGCTGGGACTCACTGTGTAATGACTGTTTGTGTTTGGGACCACCTATTCAGCCAGACCAGTATAAGGAACATACTGTCTTTTTGGCTCTAAATATGCATCTCTAAATATTGTGATTTTGGGTGAACGAGTCTGATATTTCTAGATGGTGTGTTTATAAAGTGAAAGCTCTAGAAATCTTTCTCGACAAAAGGCTCATTGTTGCAGGATTTTGTGTTGCAACCTAACGGTTCACATGTAAAAAAGGCTATGATTATATAGGCCGAGATGGAAATTTTAGAATTTAGCTCTTAATTTACTCAGCTACTGCTAAATAACAAAAGCTGTGAGAAAAATTAACACCATACACTACTCACAGAACACAGATACACAAACTAGAACATCAATTAATCCTTTTCAATGATTTAGAGGTTTTAAAATATCAAAACAATCTGAGTCAATACATCAGAAAACACGCGCTGTCAAGAAACAGATTTGGTGGGCCTGGGTGCCAGGGGAAGCAGATTAGTGGGCTAGATCCTTAGATGGTTTGAAGCTCCACAGACCTGAGCTTGTGCCAACTAAGGACTGGACCCAGTTTGTTTCCCATGATACTGGATACATTTTGCCTTTCAATAAAACAAAAAAGTCAGGCATGTGTTTTTGTACCTACGATTGATCTGTTCTACAAACCACGAAAAGATAGAAATTGGGGGTTGTGTGGGTGGCTACAAAATCTTTTTTTTCCCCTTTTGTATTAGCATTTAGCCCTTGCCTAAATGGCTAAATATGTGTGTGCCCCGAGAGCATCCATCCAGAGAGAAACTTTCTCCAGAATGTTAAGGGCAAGAGTTTAAAAAAGTAAACGCAATCATACAATGATAAAAGCCTTGCACAGCTAATTGAGTAGGATGTAATTCTTAAGATTAAATACATTTACTAATTAACTTCTATATTTCTATGTTCATTATGATAGTTGTAAATGTTGGCTTAGATGCTCTTTAAGAAAGATCAGAAAAATTCTGCGTATTCCACAAGCACATACACCTCCACAAGCGATACTAGGTGGATTCTGGTCTGTTTGGGTTTTTTTCTTCTTTCTTTTCTCCCCACGCTGTTTGTGGACATCTGGTTCCAGATTGGAACCTGGATATGACACTTATTTGTCATATTACAACACTTATTTCTGCTACTGCACACCTCTTAAATGTCTTTCTATTGCAGCTGAGTGCCAGGAAAGGTGTGTTTGGTAGGGAAGGTGTGCTCAGGCTTTTTTACTTTTCTGACATTTTAAAAAAAGGGTTTGGATACGCTTTTGTTGTCCTTGGAGGTGTTTTTTTAATGGAGTTTACTTGAGATTTTAAACCTAGTTAAGGCCAAATTTTTAATTGGGAAGTTGCTTTGGGTGTGTAATTGACAGGAGAGAAAGACAGGGGTTGGGCTGTGGATTTCTGCCTTAAGAGCAAACAAACATTTTTAGAGCTGACGTATCAGGGATTAAAAAGTTGGCTTTGATTCCCTTTCAAAAATTGAGCTTTGAAGTTGTTTTGAGATGAATGGACAGACTCAGTGAGGTGTTTATACATGAATAAATAAATTTCATACCTGCATCTGACCTTGAAATAAAATACTTAATTTTACTTGTAGGCGCTTGATCAGTAGTTATTTCTTCCAGTACTTCATGTGAAATATGATTTTGTTCAAAATCTGATTTTTAATGAGCAACTGGTAGGGCCAGATGTGAGAAAGGTGCTCAATACTTCAGAGTCTCCAAAAGCTCGGAGTATTTTTTTACTGCCTGTGTAAGGCTTGATGCAACCATCCAAAATCTCATGATATTTGTGAGAAGATGCACAGGTGATATATTCTCACTTCTTTTTTTAGCTTGGCCCTCCACCCCGCAGTAGAGTATAACCAGTATTTTTTTTATTTTTTTTTAAAAAAAGGGCTTTACACTGCTATTACTGATGGATAATTGGAACACGTATGTTCGTGTAGAATATATCTGCTTTAGCTTTTCAAACAATTTTTGTAGTTATTGGCTCGCTTTGTTAAATTGGATGGATTTGTTGACAGCGACTAAGCATCACAGTATCCTGCAAAGTCGAGATACTACTTCTGAACTTTGACAATGACATTGGGTTTGTTTTGGTTTTTTTCTTCTGTGAGAGGACAAAGTAAAGAACATGTAATACTCTGAATTCTTAGCTAGCCTGTCATTTTTCATATCCTCATGAAATATGAGCTGACCAGCAGGTGGCAGTTTAAAGAAGCCTGTGAAAGATTTTGAAGGTGTTGCTTTTACCATAGGTTCCTCCTATCTTCCCTAGAAGGAATTCTTTCTCCTTTCTGTAACATCCAGGGTCAAAACAAGCTCAGTTGCTGGTTATAACTACAATTTCTTGCATTTCCAAGGCCTAATAATGCAGGTTACAATAATGCAAGCCTTAAGTTTTATTCTTTTTCTGCATATTAAACAGTATATTTTTTCCTCGTTAGCTATTTGAGGCAGATTTGGTTTATCTGCATTTTTAGTGAGTGTTACATGTATCCACAAAGGAGAAAACCCGTGCAGTTCTTACAAGGTAAGGTATTTGTTTAAGAAGGCAGTCATGGGATGTGTACAACTTGCAACTAAAAAAATACGTCAGCTCTGTTTATCGTCCCTGGAGTCTAGCTGTCCCACAGTATACCACAAAAATATTCCAGGCACGCTTACTGAAGGTAAAAATAACTCTCTTTGAGATGCTAAGAACAGGAAGGAAGAAAGGAATTTGCGTTATTTTAAACAATCTACTGCCCTAAAGAAAAAAGACGAAGCCAACCTTGCAGGTTGTTAAAAAAAATCAGCATGCTTCTAGCTTTTCATTCTAGCTTCCTTCGAAGATAATTTTCTCTTTAAAACAGTACTTAAGGATAATTCAATATATAATGCCACCTTAATTCCTCTGACCTAGCAGACAGTTGTTTCCTGTGTTTGTTTCTATATGCCTATGGATTCTTATATTTTTTTCCTGTTTCGAAGCACCAGTAAGCAGTCAGGGGTATGTTTTTGTGGAACACTGCAAGTAATTGGACTTGTTTCTTGTTAGACCTCTGCTAACGCCTCTAACAGTTGATATGACCTGCATTGCCCACCATATCATACAGTTTTGTTACAATGCTTCTACTTTCCCGTTGAAAAAAAGTTTCAGGCTTGACTCTTGTTTTTTGGCAGCACGTTCTGTGTAGAAAATTTAAGTTTCTTATGTAATTATTCTCATCCTGTGTATTACTTAGGCTTCAGAGTGCAGAGAATCTGTTTACTGAATGTTTACATGATGTAGGTTTTTATTCCACGTCCCCTACCAAAGTATCATGAATATCTGTAGGCGATTTTACAATGTTTTAAAATGTTCTCAGAATTTTAATTAACTTTCCAGGCAAATTCAGAAATGCATAATATCCTTACCTGAAACGTCTAACTCCTGCTAATAATAAAAATGAAACTTGTCCCAGGCCGTCTTTTTTGCTATTACAGTACTGTGTACACTTGTGGCACCGCATACTTAAAGAGTTTATCTAGTCTAGCAGTATGGGCCAAACTATCATTCTTCATTCAGTTCAGGAATTCTTATACTGAAATAAAGAAAATGTTAACTGTAACGCAATTGGCTCTGTCAGTTTTTCTGTCTCCGTGTGGGTGCACGATAGATCGTCCTCTGAATACAGTCTGATCTATTGTTTGCTTATCGCTTACTGGCTTACGCTTAGATTTAAAAAAAATCCCAACAAACACAACCCAGCCCTCTAGCCACTGAGATT